CTTTCTCCGCAGCCTCCTGATACTGGCCCGAGTCATATACAGCTAAAACTTCTGGCAATCGTTTTTCCATTTGGGTATCAGATTCACTTGGATTTGACCAAAAGTTTTTAGGATATGAACTTTCCTCTCTCCCTCTATCTCATCTGTAGGGGAATGTTAGGCCAGTGTAGGGTGCGGGCAGGCAAGTAAGTGGTCTTCATGAAGCACCAATTTCTCTGCACGTTTGCATAATAGAGGATTATGTTTTTGCTATAAATTGTCTTTGTGGATCAGGTTCCCAGAATGCAGGCTTAGCTCATAGTATTTCCCAGGATGATTACTTTTGTTTATTGCTGGGTAATATAACACAGCATTTTAACATTTGGGCGTGATTATATCAATGGAGCTTGTGAAAGTCATTCATGAGTCGTGTTATTCTCCAGCAGGGGAAGAATATAGAACACAGGATGCCTACACGATGAAAGATCCGACAGCTATAACAATGACTGTGGTCATGTTGCAAAATACTCACAATAAGTTAGAAAATAAAATAGAATGCATCATTGCACAAGAATGCCTAAAAAAAAATGTCCAATAATGGTGAGCCTTTTTCAATGGTTCAACTGGTGGTAGTTGGTGGTTTTTCTTTAAGTATATGTTTTTGTATTTGTAAATGTTCTAAAATAAATATAGGTTACTTACATGGTAAAAATAAACTTGAACATAAGATACCTCACAACCTTGATTAAAATGTCTTTGTGACATTTTAAAAGGCCATAAGCATGAAAAGTCCAAGCTTGTGGACGGTTAGCAGGAGACTAAGTCTGTTCAGCTAGAAGTTTCCGAAGTGGTGATAAGCTAGTTAAGTCCGCTGGTTCCATCACCAGCTGGTAAGTTTGCCCTTAAGAGAGAAGGGAGGGTATCTGAAAACCTTCCACGCCCCCATCCCGGAGCATCTTTGCTGAGTCTCAAGCCAATCACGCTTGCCGCTCCTGTGAAAGTATCCCTGGCCGTGTTGGCAACCTCCGGCAGGCTCCCTGGGTCTCGGCCGTGTTCTCTCACAGCGAGGAGCTTTTTAATTACCAGGCAACCACAAGGCTGAATCCTTGCTATGCGACTTTGATAGCATCCGAGAGCAGGCCTGGTTGGTCTGCAGGTTGGTTCATAATTACTTCTGGGGAACTAGGCGGATAGCCACACAGACGACTCAGCTGGGTGTGGGGCTGTGATCTCAGGGTGCCAAAATCATTGCTTCTCATTTCCCCAGATTCAGTGGGGTTTACACTTATTAATTCCCACCAGCCAGAAATGGAGACACCCCCTGAGGTTGAAGGCAGGGGTCATTCACATGTCATGGAAGAAAGTAATGACCTGGGGTTTACGTGGAGTCTTATCACTCATATGTAAGGGGAAAAATGCCGTCTACTGGGCACCCCCCGGGTACCAGACATTGAGCTGAGCTCGTTGGCCAGGAGCCCATATGCATCCCCGCCCAGGTTCTGAGGTTTCAAAGAGAAAATATTCTCCTTATGAGGAAAACGGGTTCGGTAACGTGCCCTGATGAGAAGCACACGGGGATGACGTCCCCGGCCATCGTGAAGCAGCTGGTCACAGCACCCTTCACACAGTTTTCGGAGTCAGAGACACGTGGGTTTTACTTCCGACTCTGTGGGAGAGCTGTTATCCCAAGGGTGGTCTTATGAGGCAACACGGGAGGTGTTCCAGGGCCACAGTCGGGAAATCTTACATGACGCTCATGCAAAATGACCATCAGAGCCCGTGGGAGAGGCGGCAGCCCACGCTGGATCCTCTTCACACGTTTCTTCTCACAACTGGACGCCTAGTTCAAGTGAGAAAGGCGTTGCATGGAAGTCCCATTGTTTCTGCTTAGCCGAATACCTGGGGTGATTCATCCCCACTTGTCATGGTCCATATGAACAAAGATACCTCTCCCTGCTGTTTGCTAACTCTGTGTCTCAGGGAAGTCAGTTCTTTATCCTGAACAGCGTCAGAGAAAAGTCCCCGTTCTGATTCCCGGAGCTGTTGCTGAGGAAGTCCCAACCCTGCGTGGAAGCTGGAATCCCATACGCCCCAGACTCTCTCTACCTCGAATTCTCTATTTACTGCATTTTTTTAAACCATAAAAAAATCTTTCTAAAATATAAAAATATGACAGATAGGGTGGTGCCTGTGGCTTAAAGGAGTAGGGTGCTGGAGCCATATACCAGAGGTGGTAGGTTCAAATCCAGCCCTGGCCGAACACTGCAAAAAAGAAAGAAAGAAAGAAAAGAAAAAATATGACACATCCGTTCCCTAGTGCAGGAAGAGAAGCACCAGGGCAGTGATTGTCAACTGGGGTGCTGCAGCACACTGGTGTGCCCTAGAGGGTCTCAGGTGTGCCTCCAAAACTTTTAAGGCTTATTAATTATTTTCAAAAGAAGGTCAAAGCACAGTAAGTATCGTCTTTTCTTCACTCTCTCTTTTTTTTTTTTTGATAACATAATTTAAGTGTGCCACAGAATTTTAACAATAGGTTCAAGTTTGCCCTCAGATAGAAAGGGTTGAAAACCCTGCACCAGGTTACTCCAGATAATGTGTTCTCATGCAAAGCTGACTATTATGGTAGAATTGTATCACGTGTCACAGCCCCACAGGGTGCCTGCTGGGCCATCACACGCAGCCTGCCTACTGCTCCAGGAGTATATAGTGCTAAGTTTAATCTGGGTCATAAAACTGCCTCATAAAACTCTACAGGTAACAACTTAAATGTCTAATACCAAGGGCGAGATAAAGTAAACTGCTGCATAAAATACATTTCCTCCATCCTTGATCCAAATATCTTGGACCAGGAATTCAGACTATTGTGTGTACTGTGTAAGATTCCCATTGAGGGCTGGAGGAGC